TAAATGTGCATAGACAAAGTTTCATTTCTTTCAAGCATCTGATTTTATATTTCACTTTTCTGTTTATATAGTTTATGTTTACCTATATTATCTGTGGCATGTTTTCTCATGAAGGGAAGGAAAATCCTTTACAGAGGTCTACTAGATTTAGCTGGTTTGCTTAACTAGATCTTTCTAAGGTCCAGCAATATATTTAGCATTACCATCCCCACTTTTAGTGAACACAACTGTTGCCTACAGTACATGTGACAGTTACGCTTATGTATAAAGAAATATTGCAAGACTGCTTATTGAAAAATCGTGTTCCTAGCTAGTTGATAGTAGTGGCTCTCTACCTTTCCAGACTACTGAACCCCTTTCAGGAGTCTGATTTGTCTTCAGTACTCCAAGTGTCACCTCACTTGAAAACTACATGCCTACAAAATCAGACATAAAAATACAAAAAAGCGTCACAGCACACTAGTACTGAAAAATTGCTTACTTTCTCATTTTTACCATATAATTATAAAATAAATCAATTGGAATATAAATATGGTACTAACATTTCAGTGTATAGTCTACAGAGCAATATAAAAAAGTCATTGTCTGTATGAAATTTTAGTCATATTGTAGTGACTTCGCTAGTGCTTTTTACATAGCCTGTTGTAAAACTAGGCAAATATCTAGATAAGTTGATGTACCCCGTGGAAAACTTCTGCATACCCCTGGAGGAGAACCCACAGTCTTAAGACACATTGTAGTTGATTGTTCCTGAACAGAAAGCTGTTGGACTTGGCAATGAAGCCCTTTCAGGGCTGTTTGATGAAAGGTAAAAATATCATGTGCAGTATACCAGAAACTTCCCACACGACAGAAAACACCAAGCCACAAAGTTTAAGTCATCTAGTTAACGGAGACACATTTCAATTAAATTTTAATTTTATATATATATATATATATATATACACACACACAATGTGTGCTGAAAAGTTAAAGTAACATTGCAACATTTTAATAAACATAGATTTACCACAACCTTAATTATATACTTTTTGCATTTTCTTTTTGATTGCTAAGATGTATGTAAAAAGTGCTGTTCATTAAATTCAAATAGCCATGTTAATATAATATTAAAGCCATACTGCTTTAAAGCATTAGAAAATGCTAATGTTATTCTATTTTTCTGAATTATAAATCCAAAATGGTATAGACTAAACTCCATTTTGTCATGTTGGCATTCCTAAGCAGTATCTTTTAGTGTTTTGTTCTTTGGGGCAAGGTGTGTGTGGGGAAATTACCAAGATACAGAATTCTTTAACTGTACACAGACCATTGTCTAAAACATAAAAGAGGTGTAGTGTTGGAGGAACCAAGAGAGGGGCAAGGAGCTATGCTGCCTGGTCTCAGAATGGGGGTGCAAGGTAGTAGACTGGCCAAGCATTGAATGGAACCAGAGGGCAAAGAAAGATATGGAGGCAGGGGATCCATTTAAAGAACAAACCAAGAAGGCAAAGTTAAAGACGGCTGCGTGGTGTAAATCATATCAGGCAAGAGTGATGACAGATTATATGGCAGAAGCAGAGTGACTGAATTCCTTAACTGCACATTTACGGACTAATTTTGGAGGTTTTGTAGTTGATTTCTTGTAAGTAATGCACTGTTTTTTAGTGTTATTTGGAACAGGGTAAGATTAAAATGTGATTCCCCCTCAGCCCCGAAGTCCAGCTAAGTTTGTGAACAACAGTTAGGTTACAGTGAGCCTATAAACAGAAAGCCTTTCTTTTAATAATTTATCGATGTAAGACATCCAGGTTCTTTGGCAATTGGCAGAGATATTAATTTCTAAAGTAAGTATCTTGCTTTGCAATGTAAAGGTCATTCGATCTAGCAAGCCTCCCAGCTGTTCAAGGCACAGAATGAAACACCACCCGGGAAGACACTTGGCATACCAGAAGACAACAGGGGCGAAAAAAAACCAGCTTACTTGACTGGCTAATATTGACTATTCTCTCTGTACAAAGATCAAAAACTTCTCACCTGGAAAACCTGACAAGGATTCTAAACATTCTATAACTACAGGCTACCTGTAACTGAAAGTTAGCATGAAAATTAGGCACTATTTTGGGCAACAGTGGGCACGTGATGCAATTTTAATTCCTACATTTCAGAAATGTTCTGTGTACAATACTTCCAGTATGGGCCTCAGAAAACAGGCTTCAGTCTCCCTATGGCAGGCAGTATCCCAAAGGTACTACCGGCTGAATGCCAGCGTTAAACTATATGTCTGTGTATATATAAATATGTGTACACCCCCCAACCATCTGTGAGCAAGGCACTAGAGGCGGCTATAGGTAACACTGAAGGGAGAATTTTCTATGGTTTATAATATTCCTCCTAAATTCCTAAAAATGTTCAAAGTAGTGCCTTCTTAATTACCCGAAGATTTTCAGATTTTTCATCTTTTTTTGGCACTCAGTTAAACAGTTGGGATTTAAAACTTCAAACTCTGAATGCCCTCAATGACATAGGTACAGATGCTTTGCAAGAGAATTTGAAAAGAAAATTATTTCTTTTCCATTTGATCAACAAGTCAAAACTGCACATTGAACATGTGGGTTTCCATAAAGAATGTGCGCAGACACATGTACATATACAAACCAGCACGTACACATCTGGATATCCACGCACAGCCCTACCCCTCCCAGCAACCTGCTAAACCAGCATTTCTCAAAGTTTGGGTCACTGGGTCGCTCTGGTCAGCGCCACTGACCAGGATGTTAAAAGTCCCGTCAGCAGCACTGCCCAGCTAAGGAAGGCTAGTGCCTCCCTGTTCCAACACCGTGCTGCGCCCCAGAAGCAGCCAGCAGCAGGTCTGGCTCCTACACCCCAACCCTCTGCCCCAGCCCTGAGCCCCTCCCACACCCCAAACCCCTCATCCCCAGCTCCACTGGCATCAACAATTTTCTTCAACTGGGTCCCCACAAAAAAAGCTTGTAAATGGCTGTGCTAAACCATCCCACCCCTACAGAACCCTTTCCTACACTTACTGATCTTCCAGTCTATCTTTAGGATGGCAAAGATCTAACAAGTCAGACAGTCTCTTTGCATGGCTTGCTGTCACAAGTTTCACATTTCATCTGAAAATGACAATTCACTTGTACCCTTGTGCAAAATTTAAACTGAATGCATGATCTAATGCTGTCAAAATATCTCATAATCAGTATCCTGTATAATCCAGTCATTGAATTTGACACAGAATCCACCTCTCACTGCAGAAATGTGCTCCAGGATTCAAGCTTTCATTTTCTAAAACAATTATGGTTTGATTAATCATTTGTATTATGGTAGCACTCAGAAACTTCAATCAGGATCAGAGCCGCATTGTGTTGGGCTCCACACATACATTTAGGCTATGTGTGCACTACACAGCTTTTAGCGACATGGCTGTGTGGCTACAGCCGCACTGCTAAAAGTCGTGCAGTGTAGCTGCTGTTTGTTGGCTCTCCTGCCGACCCAAAACTTCCAGCCCCACTGAGTGGTGTTTGTGTTGTCAGCAGGAATGCGCTGTTCACACTGGTGCTTGTTGTGGCAAAACTTGTGTCTTTCGAGGGAGGGATGGGGTGGTTTAACATCTCTGAAAGACAAAAGTTTTGTCGTACCATTGCCAGTGTAGACATAGCCTAAGAGATAGTCCCTATCCTACAGAGCCTAAAATCCAATACGACAGAAAAGACTTAACAAGCGAGTGTCATAAATGCAAGGGAAGGAGAATGAAGGTAATAGAGAACAGAGGTTAAAATGATAGGAACATATGGAGAGAAGCAATCTATGTGAAATTTTATTATAAAATTAAATAAATTAGATACCAGTAAACCTACTGATCCTTTTGGTTACAAAGAAAAACCTTCAAAATGGAAACGAAGTGAAAACCAGTGCATTGTTGTATTCCCAAGTCTGGACATGATCACTCCCAAAAGGATCACATACAATATCCCAGGTTAACTGAAGCTCCCGGATAGCCATTTTTCACGTCTGTCCCCTTGGACTGTACTGTGAATTAACACTTCAGGCAAAACAAGGTCAGAATATATACACTGCCTATCAGAACTTCATCATTCCACTTCAGGCATGGGAGACTAAAAGTACAGCTGAACCAGAGCATGCAAGCTTTGAAGCCTGTGCTCCACTTTGGTCCTATTCCCCATATTTCCTGAATCCTCAATCATCAAATACTTAAAATAAACTACAGCTCTGATTTCCTGAAAGTGGGTATTCAAATCTCTACCTCTACTACCAACAATCCTTAGAAAAACTAGAACGGAACAAAATCCTGCTAAACTTAAAAACAATGAACATGAGAAGCAGTTTATTTCTTACACTGACCGCTATATGTAAGGAAAGAAGAGAACTTCACAAGAAGGAGATCAAAAGTCAAACTACAGATTCAGTAGAAGTGAAAACACATGAAATAGGGACATCCGAGATCTCAAAGCATTTGCAAACTCTACCAGGTGTTTTAGATGATGATCTTCCCCCGTGAAGAATCAATTAAAACACCATGAAATCTGCCATATACAGTTATCCTATAGACCAGAAGACAAACAGGATTGCCCAGAAGAGGTGGTTTTTAAACGGTACAATAAAGCTGTACTGGAAATCACATGTGGGTATTTTGAAGTAACCTCTTGAAACAGAGCATGCCTTTGTATGTCATGTCCTTAGTGCAGGTGTTAATACACATTTTAAACAGCATACATCTGAGACTTAGCTAACTAGAAAGATTATATGTTGTCAGCTCCCTTTTGAATCCCAGCAAAATTCTGGTTTCTTTCAACATCAATATGGTAAACAGAGAAAAATGACTGTCATTATCGAGTGACCTATCAACAAACAAGGACTTCTAGGATATTGTGTGTCTCATAAATTTATTCCCAGATGGTAAACTATACTCACAAGCCTTCCATTCCCATTTACCCTGTTACTATTCTTGCTCAGGTTCTGTCCATCTCAGACAAACCTACCATGTGGTAGCGTTATGTTTGCACCATCAATGATTGCTTGTGCCAGTTCATGATCATTGCTCTCAAACGCATGTGCAGCAGCCTTGAGGGCATCCCAAATCTCCTTGCGGCCTTCAAAAGCTGGTGCTGTGTCCCAAAACTCATCTCTTTTACTGCGCAGCTGTCCATCTGTCATTGGGTAATCACTTTTCCATTTTGGTTTCTCTTTTTTCAGGGGTTGATTACGACCTAAAGCAACTGTAGAAAAAGATACAAACACACATTACTAAAGTCAATGTGGTTATATTTTAGTTGTGAGCAGCTTCAGTTTTCTTTCTGGAAATTCCAGTCCACTACAAGCTCTCCAATCCTGCACATGCTCCCTACACTGTTCTAATTTCTTTTTCAAGGCTCTCTGGTCATTTCAAAAAGTTCCCCCCCTCAGGTTTCACTGTTCAATTCTTTCAGGGGTTTCCCTTCCCCTCTTCAATTATACCTGCCTCTCTAAATGTCTAAAGATTCCCTGAGTGCCCTTGAAGTTCTCTCCAAGCTCCCCTGGTAACTGTCTCTTCACTCGTTATGCCATCTGCTTCAGCCTGCATGACTTATTCATAAAACAATAAAATCTTTCAGCATGCTACAGCAGCTATACAGTGAGAGAAGCAAATCAACTAGTAGCATCCCACTGTCACAGAGGCAATACTGCATCAGGATCTTTCTTTTCTATTCTGCCAGCAATGAATTCTGCACAAATTATGCTCCGCTACTAAATATAAGAGTTTTATAAAACAAAGTATTTTTATTGTCCTCTTTGTACATCTTATTTCCCTTTTTGCATTTATTCAGCTTTTTAAGTATTTATGACTTCAAAGCTAAAATCTTAGTGCAGACACAGAAATCTCTAAAGAATATATTGTAACTTTACAAGGTTTCCCATAGTGGATACTTCATTTACATGAAATATTTGAGAATTTGCGTCACTTTAATTATAGCAACATTCATTTAACACAGAGACTGCTAAAAAGGAACTATAAAGGTTTCTTGCCATACTATTAGGCCTACTTGTTCAGTTTTTAAGCATTATGAAGAACCACCCATTATGTAATCATGTGCTGGTGATCAAAGAAATTATCACTTTGGGTTTGTTAGCAATTGGCCCAGCAGAATCATCCTTAAGATAACATTAAAGAACCCTGTTTATTTTGGAAGCCTAAAAGTTTCCCTATCTTCCTAGGCACTCAGATACTACAATGATTCATAGAATCACAGGACTGGAAGGAACCTCGAGAGGCCTGACCTCATGGCAGGACTAACTATTATCTAGACCAGTGGTTTTCAAACTTTTTTCTGGCGACCCAGTTGAAGAAAACTTTTGATGCCCACGACCCAACAGAGCTGGGACTGAGGGGTTTGGGAGGGGCTCAGGGCTGGGGCACAGGGTTGAGGTGAGGGGGTGAGGCCGGGAATGAGGGGTTCAGGGTGCGGGAGGGGATCAGGGCTGTGGGTGCAGGCTCTGGGGTGGGGTCAGGGATAAGGGGTTTGGGGTACAGGAGGGGCTCCAGGTTTGGGGGGGGGGGCTCAGGGCTGAGGCAGGGGATTGGGGCACGGGATTACCTCAGGCAGCTCCCGGTCAGCAGCAGTGCTAAGGCAGGCTTCCTGCCTGTCCTGGCACCATGGTCCGCACTGTGCCCCGGAAGCGGTCAGCAGCAGGTCTGGCTCCTAAGCGGAGGTGCACAAGCGGCTCCGCGCAGCTCTCTCCTGAAGGCACTGCACCCCCCTGCTCCGATTGGCTGGTTCCCGGCCAATGGGAGTGGAGAGCCAGTGCTCTGGATGGGGGCAGCATGCGGAGCCCAGTGGCCCCACTGCCTAGGAGCCGGACCTGCTGCTGGCCACTTCTGCGGTGCAGCGTGGTGTCAGAACAGGTAGGGACTAGCCTGCCTTATCCAGGCAGCACTGCCGACGGGACTTTTAATGGCCTGGTTGGCGGCGCTGACCAGAAACACAGTGACCCAATGCCTTACATTCCGTGACTCAGTACTGGGTAGCGACCTGCAGTTTGAAAACCACTGAACTAGCCCATCCCTGACAGATGTTTGTCTAACCTGCTCTTAAAAATCTCCAATGATGGAGATTCCACAACCTCCCTAGGCAATTTATTCCAGTGCTCAACCACTCTGACAGTAAGAAAGTTTTTCCTAATGTCCAACCTAAACCTCCCTTGCTGCAATTTAAGCCCATTGCTTCTTGTCCTATGCTCAGAGTTGAAGAACAACAATTTCTCTCCCTCCTCCTTGTAACAACCTTTTATGTACTTGAAAAGGTATGTCCCCTCTCAGTCTTCTCTTCTCCAGACTAAACTAACCTAATTTTTTCAATCTTCCCTCACAAATCATGTTTTCTAGACCTTTAATCATTTTTGTTGCTCTTCTCTGGACTTTCTCCAATTTGTACACATCTTTCCTGAAATGTGGCGCCTAGAATTGGATACAATAGTCCAGTTGAGGCCTAATCAGCACGGAGTAGAGCGGAAGAATTACTCCTCGTGTCTTTCTTACAACTCTCCTGCTAATGCATCCCAGAATGATGTTTGCTTTTTTTGCAACAGCGTTACACTGTTGACTCATATTTAGCTTGTGATCCACTATGACCTCCAGATCCCTTTCACAGAACTCCTTCCTAAGTAGTCATTCCCCATTTTGTATGTGTGCAACTGATTGTTCCTTCAAAAGTGGAGTACTTTGCATTTGACTTTATTGAATTTCATCCTATTTACTTCAGACCATTTCTCTAGTTTGTCCAGATAATTTTGAATTATAATCCTATCCTCCAAAGCATTTGCAACCCCTCCCAGCTTGGTATCATCTGCAAACTTTTTAAGTGTACTCTCTATGCCTTTATCTAAATCACTGATGAAGATATTGAACAGAACTGGACCCTGTGAGACCCCTCTCATTATGCCCTTCCAGCATGACTGTGAACCACTGAACACTGCTCTCTGGGAAACGTTTTACAACCAGTTATACAGCCACCTTATAGTAGTTCCATCTAGGTTGCATTTCCTTAGTTTGTTTATGAGATCATATGAGACAGTATCAAGAGGTTTACTGAAGTCAAGATATACCACATCTACTGCTTCCCCCCTATCCACAAGGCTTGTTACCATGTCAAAGAAAGCTATCAGGTTGGTTTGACATGATTTGTTCTTGACAAATCCATGCTGACTTTTACTTATCAACTTACTATCTTCTAGGTGTTTGCAAATTGATTGATTATTTGTTCCATTACCTTTCCGGGTACAGAAGTTAAGCTGATTGGTCTGTAATTCCCCGGGTTGTCCTTATTTCCCTTTTTATAGATGGGCACTACACTTGCCCTTTTCCAGTATTCTGGAATCTCTCCCATCTTCCATGACTTTTCAAGATAACCTTTAATGGCTCAGCTATCTCCTCAGTCAGCTCCTTGAGTATTTGATTGGGACCATAGAAATCCTCAGGACTATCTGGTTTTTTTCTAAATATTTCATAATATATTAAAATTTTGGGAAGCCCAAAAGTTGTTTTGGAACTTTTGCCTTGTGTACAAACTGCACAACTGTGAAACCTTGTACTGATCTTGGATTTTTTTCATTTTTTTTCTTTTTTGGTAAAACATCTTCTGAACTGTAGAGAGGGCAGGGGCATGATGGAAACTATCTCATGAGAGGGGGGAAAGCCCCTATCAGTAAAAGTTTAATACAAACAGTGGCATTTGAATCCATCACTGGCAGTAGCAGCCTTGTCAAAATGGGTCATTTCCCCTGACAGCAGCATGGGAAAGCAATGAAAAAAAACAAGAACTTCTACCCTGGTCAAATATCACAAGACTGAGTATGTAGTTCAGTGTTTACAGGGGAAACAAATGTCCTTCAGCCAAATGTAAGGATGTTTGTGACACCCTGAACCTCTCATTCCCGGCCTCAGCCCTGCACCTCAACCCTAGTCTGTCAATCAGTCTAGGAGACCAGCATATCATATGGTGGGAAGATTCCCTTGACATGTTCTTAGTGAAGGAGCCTTTACATTTCCAGTACTGTGGAAGAATCACAAACATCACTGTCTGGTTAGGGAGGCAGTAAAAGACCTAATCCGTCACCCCACCTCTGCAATACAGAAGACAAATTGTCTCTGATCAAAATAAGACTGCACCTGCTGTGCCACTGAGGTCCAGGGAATACAGTTTCTGTTTAATTGAGCTGCTAATTATTAGTCCTTAAAAATCTCAACGCACTGATGGAACAGGAGAAATGTTTATATTTAACGTTCTACAAATCTACATTTACAAGGGGTGAGGTGAGTGACATTCCTTTCTTCCCATACTCTGCTCATTTTGGCAAAGATGATGGCACAAGCAAAACAAAACCCATGTCCCTCTCAACTTTATTCCACACATTTTAGATCAGCAATTTAAATCAGAATATTCTCCATAACCCCTCCCTTTCACATACACAGCTACAATTAGCTACAACGAAGACATTTTTAACAGGGGACCCACTAAGGTTCTACTGTACTGCAAAGAATAGGAACAATTTACCAGATTATGAAAGATTAGGAAAACATGAAATAATCTTACTCCCAATGACATGAAATCACAACTTTCACTAAAGCTTCAAACAAATTGAAAATCTTAGTTTCTGGTATCAGTTATATTTTCAAAGAGTGGCTGTTTTATTCCAGGCATGTCCCTTCCTTCCTTAATTCCCTTCACCACAGACAGGACTGTCCCTAGACATTGTGGTGCCCTATGCAGCACCCCCGCAGGGGCGGAGGCATGTCCCCAGGCCTCCGCAGGGGGTGGGGGGGAGAAGGGGGCTGTGCCCAAGGTCTGTGGGGGCAGGAGCAAGCTTGGGGGCAGGGGCAAACCGCCCCCCAGCATGAGCCAGAGGAGCGGAGCGGTTCGGGGCCGGGTCACTCCACTTCCTCACGTCTGGTGATTGCAGGACTCCGCACTCACGGGGCAGCAGGAAGTGGAGTGACCCAGCCTCAGCCGGCTCTGCTCTGTTCCCCTGGCTCCCAGCCTTGGGACTTGTGGGCGGGGGGAACCGCCCCTCAGCACTCACCGGAGGCACGGAACAGGTTGGGGCCAGGTCTCTACACTTCCCACCACCCGGTGAGTGCAGGCTGCACCCGACCCCTGCTGCAGTTCCCCGGGACGTGGCTCAGGGGAAGGAGTGGAGTGGGGGCAGAGTTGGGGGTGGAAAGAGGTGGGGCAGGGGTGGAGAC